CCATGTGCATACTTTCTTACTACACTGGGAAGGACGTTTCCCGATCGCCGCTTCGTCACGTAATGTTACGTAGGTACATAGTGTACGGTCCTCTTGCTAAACGGAGCATCGGTGGTCCTATTCGAGGGGATTCCGACTTATCCTAATAACAGTCGCTATTGGGACCTTATTCAGAAGTATAAAATCAATCAGTTCTACACGGCTCCTACTGCGATCAGGTGATTCCGATTGTGATGGTATGAAATGATGAGCTCATGTGTTGTTTTAATAGAGCGTTGATGCGATTTGGTGCGACGCCGCTGGAGGGGTATGATCTGTCGTCGTTGAGGGTGTTGGGTAGTGTCGGTGAGCCAATCAATCCTGAGGCTTGGAGGTGGTATTATAATGAGGTCGGCAAAGGCAAGGTACCTATCATGGACACGTAAGTTGGGCGAGAGATGGTATGTGTTTATAACATGATGACAGGTATTGGCAGACCGAGACGGGCGGGATTATGCTAACACCGATGCCTTATAGAGCACTCAAGCCGGGATCGGCGACGAAGCCTTTCTTTGGGTGAGCCTTTCTAAGGTCCTTAGTTGAGGGTAAAGTGTCTCTGTTGTCAGCATCGAGCCAGCATTGCTGGACCCAATGACTGGGAAGGAGGTAGAGGGTAATAGTGTCCATGGTCTGCTGGCTATCAAGAGGAGTTGGCCTTCGATGATCCGTAAGAAGGGAGAGGTGTGGTACGGCTCGGGTAAGGTGGTTTTATCAAGGCACTGTGTATGGCGATCACAGTCGAATGACACAACTTTACTTGGAGCCGTATCCTGGTTACTACTTTACTGGTGATGGTGCTGTTAGGGATCATGATGGGTACTACTACTAAGGGAGATATAAGTGACTATTGATTGGTAGCTTATGTTTTCAGGTATTATTGGATAACTGGCAGAATCGATGATGTTATGAACGTGTCGGGTCATAGACTGGGTTCAGCTGAGATAGAGCACGCTTTAGTACAAAGTGCAGCGGTCTCGGAAGCTGCTGTGGTCGGCTGCTCTCATCCGGTAGGTTTATATTCATTGGAGTTGTTGGTGTAGTGGTGGGATGTTTGGTTCTCTTGCTAGCGAGCCGGGCTCAAATCCCTGTGTTAGCCTTTGTGTGCATGTCAGGTAAAAGGCGAGGGTATTTTCTGTTACGTCATTTTGAATGAGGGGTTCCACGAGTCGGAGGATCTGATTAGAGAATTGAAGTAAGCCGCGTCCTATTCGCTGTATCGATGTTCAACTCGCTGGCTTGACTCACATCCTACTAAGAGCTTTCGGCCTCGGATTTTCCACTCCACTGGCAGTGCCAATTTGGCACATTAGCAATTTTGCATCGTACATGTATGGGCGGCCGACTGCATAATTGCATAAATGATAGCAATGAATCTTGGATGATTCGCATCATGTTGATTCTATGTCTGTATCGACTCGTATGATCAGGCACGAAGTAAGAAAGTCTATTGGACCCATTGCTACCCCGGATGTCATCCTGTGTGTTCCGGGATTACCCAAGACTAGGTCGGGTAAAATAATGCGGAGAATTTTAAGAAAGGTAGGGGGGAGTAGGAGCTTCTGGCTGGTACGGGGTTGCATCCAATTCAGGTGGCCAACAGGATCTATAACGATATGGGAGATACGTCGACTTTGGCAGAACCAGAAGTTGTCGAGGCCATTGTTATGAGAGCGAGGGCTCATCATGGCGAGGATATGAGGAAGGGAACTTTCTCAACGCACTTACAATGATTATCATAATTTCACTATTATTTCTCTATTATTTTATGAGCCTGCTCGCTGTGCGCGGAAGACTCTGACCGTTGGAAGCTGAGCTCAACGGTCGTATTCAGCTTGCTAGTCTTCTCTCGATTATCTGAAAACTTGATAGTAGAGTTGTGTTACTCTTGGTGAACTGTTAGGCGGGTAGAGTTCTCTGTATATTTCTGTAAGTGAGTTATCCGCAGCATCGCATAAGTCGTGGCCTATTTCTCAACGACACCAACTTTTTTGTTTACGAATAGAATGAAATATGCAACTAAATGATTGCAATTAGTATGTGGCAGTTTTATTAGGATACTCACTCGATTGGAAGCATCTACAGGCCTATCATTCTTCGCAGTCGGGTAACCGCAGTCACGCGTAGCGACATACTCGTAACTTCATATGGTAGAGCTGTGGCCACTTACATTACGTTCCTGCCCAGTTATCGGAGTTACGTAGAGCTGTGGCATCAAATGCGAGCCGGATGCAATTATTGCCCTATCTGGAGTTTGTGTAATCATCTGGCCCTCTGGTCCGAATCAACATGATGGATATCGGACCGTCCGATATCCATCATGTTGACAGACAGGAGTCATCTCCGGTCATACGGCTTCGACTCGATAGTTCTCTCGGTCGATATTGCGACGTTGCGTCCTCAGCATGTTGGGAATGTATGAACGTCTGAGCGGCTCTACCTCTGTCTTCAAATCCCATCTCGCCGTCACTGTCTGGCATGCGTTGAATTACGTGAAGTGTTCCTCTCCATAATATGTTGTGTTGGCAGTCTTGTTGACATGTGTAAGGACGTGCAGAGACACTCCCAATGCATCCGGCCGGCAGACTATATAAAATTTCACAACCACCTCTAAACCACAGCAGTTGCCGCCTTCAAGAGCTTGTCTTCGATTGGAAAGTCCGACACGCTCCAGGAGCGCTCGGTGAGCGGTTAGACGATCGTGGGCCACCAGTGAGGGTATCCAATATTAATCTGTGTTGAGTTCCGTGCCTGTCGTCTTCGATGCTCGCTGAAGCCCCCGTGAAGCATACTCCCAACTCGACACCACAGTCATATAAAGATACGTTAGCTTGGCATTCCCCGATTGGCCGGGCCGAGCTCAACCATCCGCGCTCTCGATGCAAACTTCAGTGTTGACAAAGTCTGTGACACATCTGTGATGCAAGGCGATACCTGAACAGAACCCGTCGAGGCATAATCTTGGCACTGGTGACCTCAGCCTACACTTACGTGTGCTATCATGAGTACTTTGGCGCTGCCACCCAGCGAATCCTTGAGCATGAGGGTGAGCTTGGAATTACGATAAGGGACATGTGTTTTCGACTGACTTCCTCCACCATCCTTTTGTTGTGCAGCCAGGAGAGCATTCAACACGTCACCCTAGGGCATATGAGGGGAATAGACAACCAAGTGAGACCAACGATACTGACCAGAGTACTCAGAGATTTGTTGATCATCTGGGCTTCCCTTAATGTACTGCCCTTAGCGCCACTCCGACCAACATTTTCGCTACCGGCCAGATCTGGGACGCTTGAGCACTTTTACTGGATTGAATGTAATTTCCAAGTAACTCACCGATGAGATTGAGTTTCCCGTGACGACAAGTTGCTGTATATGGGCATGGCAGACTCGTTCTCAGCGTGACAACACAGTGACTCCTCGAACTATGCGAATTGATATTGGTCGATGATGTTCGACGAGTTGCCACCGCCGCTTGGAGAGCCTGAAGAAGCCGGGTCATAGACACATGATCTTGGCAGCAAGAAGCGTGCGCACCTTCAGAGCGTCGTTCAGATTTTCTAGAGACAGTTCTGTGAGACCCTCGACAATAATGTTATCATTCCCTCCCCGAAGTTGATGTCCCGAGAGAGCCTTCACTATCGCAGGCCTGGTGTAGACAAATGCAACTCTGATTTTGGTATTAGAATCAATAATACAATATAATAACCGAATACGGACCACCTCACTTTCCTGGAGCGAGAAGATCGTAGATACATTCGTTGTAGATTTCAACCATAGACATCGAAATGAGCATGTGATGCCCCCCTTGACCTTCCTTGGTGCTGAATAAATCTCTCATAATCCGCTCGTGTAGTCCGCTGAGAGCAATAGCGCATCAAACTGGCCTGTTCACTCGAGTTCAACCCATTGTCGCCTCACACATGAGCACTGCCCTCGGGAGAACCGAATACTGTGTAAGTCTTCCCGGAGCCTGTCGGGCCGTAGGCGAAGATGCATGAGTTGTAGCCATCTAGAACCTACAAACTCGTTTGAGTGTGTCACATTCTTCCGAGCGGACTTGAACAATCCGAGCAGGTGTGCTTACTGCGTGTACAAGGTCTTTGATAGAAGAATCATAGACGTCATCTTGTGATGCAGTAGGGCCGAATGCAGCATCCAAACGGATCGCTCTCTTTCTCCCACCCATCATATCGCACACAACCTATCGGTTAGCCTGACACTCTCATGTTCAGTGAATACGACTCACTGTGTCGTCACTTATAAGATGAACAGCGACCGTCTCCCCGACTTCCTTGCCACTTAGTGGCCTGTAGTAGTAACTCTACCGGGGATTCGATCGTGAAAGGCTCACCGTATGCGAGCTACAACTCTTATATTGCCTCTCAACGATGATATAACTTCCCTTAGAGATCGATTCTCGGATGCTAGTTTCGCTAACCTGGCCGATACTCTCGACAGTACCGCTAGCCTTAGTGATTCACCTGTCTCGCAGATAAGCATTTTCTGAGTGCAATCGTTGAACATTACTGCAAGGCTGCTCATACAAAGAGGCCTAGAGTTGGTCATAACATGATCTCAATATTTCTGGTGTGTCTTCACTTGTGAATCGTTAGTAGAGCATGTCGCCGTTGCTGGGCATATTACATCTTTCGGTGTTTGACTGTATCGAAAACGGTTCACAATATAAGAGCGGTATGTGAGCCTGAATGATGATATTCATTGAGGCTTCGTATGCTTCCGTATGCAACCCTTCCTCATGTGCCTCCGACTGTATTTTCATCCGTCCTGTACCGAGAAATATGTCACTCCGCGAAACCGGTGCGGAGTTCCGGCATAAATCGGCCAGGCCTACCAACCTGAATAGTCGCTGTATTGATGCTAACCGACTAGCGCTGAATGGCTCATCAGGCTCAGCTTACCACGCTGATATCAACATGTCTGGTTTTTGATCGTTCGATTGAGTGCGACTATGCATTGCTGCTCGAGCGGATGTTGTCTGTATGGCTAGATCGAGTGTTCTGTCTTTGAGGAGCAGTGAAAAGCAGCACCAAGCAGGGTCGACTACGGTCTGTAAGCCTGAGTATCGAACTGTCTATATGCTGGGGTTTGCTCACACTGCATCTCTTGAAAGTAGTTGTGATTGGACCATGAACTATACCCACCACTCCGGACAACAGGATGCTTTGATGGCCTCCAACACTGAATGAGTTCTAATGCATAATATGCATTGCATATGTCTGCCATGCTGGTAGCACTTGGTTATGTCTTTTTGATTCCTCCAGCATAGTCTCGAACGGTCAGAGGAAACCCAGAAGAGCCTTCGGGTTCGCTGGCAATTACTGTAGTTGTACTTTGCGAGTAGAGTGCCACCATTGTTGCTGATATGAGCTACATATCTAATGTGACATCATTCATCTAAGATGAGTGCGGTCCAGACTGGAGCGCCCAGTTGACTACTCAGCAACAATTTGTTTATGCGCGAGCAAAGCGCTTTTGACAGCAGCGAGCCACTCGCAACATTCCTCATAAGAAAGTGCACGAAAAATATGCTCAGATGTGGTGGATGGGGTACTCAGTATCTGCTGCGTGTTAATTCTACAGAAACCTGCCGTGAATTTCACTTGAAAAGATCTGCTGTCCAACCTTTCAGCTCCAAATAAGAGTAGCTTTTCATACCAATCTTGACTGAGAAGCATCACGCGCATGACGTGGTATGCGAAATGGATACTTTTGCCCTACTATGTCAGTCGCAAGGTGGGGCCGACCGAGCTGAGCACAGCGGTGACCGAAGTATCGCGAGACTTGTCAAAGAGCTCTCCACGCATGATGAACATACTTGACAGGACAAATAGATCTCAGAAATGACATCGCCTTAAGAGTCGAACTCCTGATGGGCATCATGCGTATAAGCACTGAAGTGGATGCACTCGTCATTACCCACGGTTTTCAATGAGCGCGTCACATCTAATCAACAGCAACATGAATAATTCACACAGATTGGTGACAGGCAATAACATAATTATAATCACGAGAGTCGTGGAATGCTTCTTTAGTCATATACTATTGCCATATTATTCATCAGCCCTGGTAGCAACTCAACTCCTCCGCTCTTTAAAGACGGGTCTTAGATAGGTTGTGTGAGTTGCGCATCAGATAATAGGAAGTCAGAGCTGACACATAGAAATGTAGGATTATACCCACAACGGCATAAAAAGATGTTAGTAAAAATAGACTCCATGAGCGAGACCGATCGTTCACATGTGAACGGATCACGTCCACATCCACGTGATGATATTTCTCACGTGAAGCGTGGATCAACAAGGTTGATTCAACACATAGCTGTTCCTGGTATGGGTCGAATCCTACACTGCAGGCGCAATCAACATCGAAAGTGCGGGCATAAACATTCGTAGTTACCTACACTAAATAGACGAGTGGGTCACATACTGCTCAACGAATGCCTTACTACAGCATATAACAAGACAAAGAGGGAACTGCTCCAACGAGCTGGAATGTTATATATGTGTAGTCGGCACAGAGTTTCTGTCTCAATCAGCTTAATGACCATCGCCTAATAAGGGTTCGTAAGTTGAAGTATCCCCCACGAAAAATTTAGCCGCCCATTCAGCGGGATCAAAATCAAATGTTCGGACAACGCTGTGAGGGTTTATGTACGACGTATGACTGCAGTTGAGCCTCTTGATAGATACCACTCTCGCCTCTCCTGGACATTTCCATTCCTTGAGCCTCGTCCAGTCGTTAATCTTCTTCTTAATACTAGCTTTCGTCTCGCACCCTAATCTCTTGGCCCACCTCCTCATGTCTCTATTCGTTCTTGGAAAAAGCGTCGATGTGAAATAGCTTTTCAGTCTTGAGTAGCGACTTCCAGGGACTGAACCATTATATGGCACCACCCCATCGTCGGCACAGTGCACGCTGGCCACCTTCGGTGCAATCGAGGTCTCATTTCTATAGATGGTGTCGCATGTCTTGAACGCTCCTTGTAGACCGGGTTTCAATGCCAGTACGGCATTGACAGATACGGCTTTGTCCAAGACATTGTGGCACAACAAAGACTCGACCATCATGCCACCGTTGCTGTAACCGTAGCCATAAACCGGTAAGTTATTCTTGTTCTCATTCTTGAGGATCTGTTTGGTGTATTCAACATCATCAACATCATTGTCGCGAATACAGCAAACCCCAGCATTCCAGCCAGATGTGCTTCGGAACCAGCTGGAATAGAAACCGTAATAGCTGCCGCACGCAGATATCAACATGAAGCCATACTTATCCGCTATAGCGGCGGTTTTGGAATACTCCTCCCATTTTTCACAGCTGCTACTCCAACCATGATATTGAATCAGGATAGCCTTCGCGGTTTTGTTCCTTGGAAGGTGGCGATAGTAATAACGTGTTAAATTCTTTTTGCCCATCTCCATAGTAAAATTGAACTTTTCGCTGCATGGGATGTCCGCCACACCGAGATCAAGCCCACGAATATTGTTCCCCGGCTCACTGAGACGAATGCCTGGTCCACGATAGATAGCTGGAGACGATTTATGGACGCTGACTATGAAACTCGGGCTGGTATCATTAACGTAATCCTGCTTAGGCTCGACAATCATCGTCTGGATGGTGTAGTTCTCCGGCCGAACTAGGAGCTCGTTCATAAAAACGGTTTCTGAGAATTGTCGACTAACATCATCTCACTTATTATCACATTACCCTCGTCGTAGAAGTCCACCTTATATAGCTGAACCAAGTATGTAGTAGAATTGCTCACCTCCAGCCTGAGAGTTGGAGAGATAACAAATAGAGAATTTCACGTAGAACTCCAGAATGCTGGCTCGTAAATTTTTACTACGGTTCAAACTCGTACCTGAGGCCCCCATAACAAGGGTCTCAGGTGCGACTATCCTGAGCAATACGCGGGTCGGGTATATGGCGTAGAACGCCATAGAGCCGACGGGCAGATACTTCACTGAATAGCACGGAGAATGCTAACTCTTTATCGAATTCGAGACTATTCCCAAACTGGTCCAGCGTGGCTGAGAACACAGGAACCCACCCTATCAATATCGATTCCTCCTTGATTCTATCAGTAGCAGCATGGACGATCATACCGTTTAAGAACGGAGGAATGCACAATTCCCTGACACAATAAGAGTTCCCAAAGAACCCTTCTGCCGAGTACGCCGTGCTCACTGTATGAACCCAGGACTTCTCATACCGTGGAGGCACTCTTCGGGGACGGGACTGAGACCATTCGTTGAGAGCGCATGAATCTCCGAGTCATCCATCAGAGAAGCAGTCAGGATCAGCAGGATATGGAGTAGTTTCATATAATGGTGGATCAGAGGCTACTGAGAGAAGAGCTCCCTAGGCATGGTGTTCCTCCGCATCAGCAAGCGCCACCGATAAACGCAATAAACTTCAATGATTTGCTCGTGGGCTATTCGGCACTCTATACTTATAGTCTTTCCATCCAGGAAGTAGCTACCCCAAAAACAGGTGAGTCGAGCGCCTCGACTCAACTCGAGTATGCCGATCTGACATTGCCGGTATCAAGGTTGTGTACCTGCTTCGCGCAGAAGAAGATAGGCTGCGCACAATGTGGCTTCGCACAATGTGGCTTCGCACAATGTGGCTGCGCACAAATATTTGCCAAACATGGAATCCATAGGCGTGAATATCCACGAGGCATTAAGGAGTGTTTCCGCGAGTTCCTGGCTGATCTGAAGCCGATCACGATAGGTATTACCGTGATCGTCTTCAGGTTAGTCACGGATAGTGCCTCGGCTCCCAATAGTTAGAGGTTTCACATGAAACTGACCCCAAGATACTCAAGCGCATCAATGTGCATCAACACGTGAAATATCCTTAACGTCCCGTTTTTCGACACGTGAAATGTCCCTAGTGTCCCGTTTTTCTCCTTTGTCGCTTTCAGGACTTGCTGCTGACTTGTCAAACATGTTACCAAATTGGGAATGACTAAATATTAAGAGACTCTGATGAAATGTAATAGCTTTACGCGATCATTCAAGCTTCATGACGGGATCTACCACAAGGTAGTGTTGGATATACTAGAATGTACATGTGTATCGGTAAATCGGATGCATGCAATTCGCGTACTATATGTATTATGATGATTTGTTCGTACTTGCAGCAAAAAATCTAGTACAAACGTTTGAAGCTATCCTGTGTAAGATAGCTCCTTCGTTGGGACTCCCAACTTGGGAGTAGAGATACCAGAAAAAAAGAAGACGCACTTGAGTAGTGACTCGGAAGTTTCTCACCTTAGTCCGGGAAATCTCGAGTAGTAATGAACTCTCTACCGACTGCCCCAGTATAGATGCTGGAGAGGTATTGGTACCATCTGTATTGAGCAAACGGCAAGCTTTTGCACTATGTGGGCGATACTTCGACCCAACCTATTGCTATGCAACGGCTCGTTTGGCTATGAACCAGTTACGGACGTGGTTTGATCATGCCACGGAAGGTTGGGATACGAAGTATGAGCTCACTCCTCAAATGAAGCTTGCACTGGAACAGTTAGACCTGGGTGCTTCGGCCGATTTTGATAAGCTGGTTCCCTCACATCAATTGTCCCTAAGCCCTGTTGAAAAGGTTGAAGGCAAAAGCCTTACAGTTCTTGGTTTGGATAGAAGTCGAGATGGTTCATGGAAGCCTCCGGGATCTACAGCTGAGAGAGACTCTGCTAGGTTTTCCATGGGTCCTGGCGGCATCTTTGGCGATGCATTCACTTGCACTGCACATAAGAAGATTCCTAAGCGGGTAAAAGATTGGCTTGAAGCTACAGGTGTTTCGATACCCTGATCCTTCCTTCAAGGCAGGATGACTGCCCTGGAGAAGATTTTTGAATCATCTCCTGTTGAGTATATGACAAGATACGGTAATTCCGAACCGGTTAGCCTTGTCCTGGCATCATGCGATGCCAGTCTTGACCGTATGGGGGTTGTATTTGGATGAAGGGCCAGACGTTCTGGTTTGCTTATCGGCTGAGTGACCTACCACAAAAAACCAGACAGAAAGTTCTATCCGGTGGTACAAGACCAACATCTGCAAATATGGTGACACTTGAGCTCTTAGCTGCTCTCATCATGCTCAGCTTCATTTCTGAGCTAGCTGTTGATGATCGAGTACCAGTACTGCTCATGGTCGACAACCAAGCGGCCATAGGCGTGCTCAAGAAGCTGTACTCTAAAGTCCCTACTGCGAGAGTTGCTTCTTGCTGCTTTACCTTCTTTTGCCACATTGTTGCAGGACTATGAAGTCATATAAAGATACGTTAGCTTGGCAATGCCAAGTTGGCATACTCCGGTTGGCCGGGCCGAGCTCAACCATCCGCGCTCTCGATGCAAACTTCAGTGTTGACAAAGTCTGTGAGACATCTGTGATGCAAGGCGATACCTGAACAGAACCCAGACCGTCGAGGCATAATCTTGGCACTGGTGACCTCAGCCTACACTTACGTGTGCTATCATGAGTACTTTGGCGCTGCCACCAAGCGAATCCTTGAGCATGAGGGTGAGCTTGGAATTACGATAAGGGACATGTGTTTTCGACTGACTTCCTCCACCATCCTTTTGTTGTGCAGCCAGGAGAGCATTCAACACGTCACCCTAGGGCATATGAGGGGAATAGACAACCAAGTGAGACCAACGATACTGACCAGAGTACTCAGAGATTTGTTGATCATCTGGGCTTCCCTTAATGTACTCCCCTTAGCGCCACTCCGACCAACATT